TGGGGAGAGCACGGCTGAGATGCTCAACGTGGAGGCGCAGAACAAGATCAGGCAGAGCCCGGGGCAGCTGCGGCTGGACGTGGAGAGGTGGGTGCTGGGGCAGCCCCCACACCTGGCCCTGGGTGCCAGCAGTGTCTGCACGCGGGCTGGGGTCCCCAACCACGTGTGTGTCACCTGTTCTCCCCCTCCGTGACTCCTGGGGCGGTGCCATCCCCGCGGGGGCCTGGCCCGGCTCTCTAATTAAGGAGTCGGGTGCTAATGAGGCCAGGCAGCGCTGGCAGCCGTTACCTGGCCAACTGGTCCCAGTTGGGTACCCGGCTGCTCCGCGGCTCCCGGGGCTGCAGGGAGGGGTCACACCGGGCGGTTTTGGGCTCCTGGGGCAGATCCCAAACCCTGCTGCTCTCCCTTGGCCCTCAGGTCCCCTGTGCCATCTCTCAGCCACACCAACGGGGACACCTTGCCAGAGATGTTGGCCTCGCATTTCCAGGTGAGCCCCGGGCAGCCCCTGCACGCCCCGGACCCCCAGCCAGGGCTGGTGGCAGCTGCTGGTGTCACCCTCCCCTCCCCAGGACACGCTGCAGATGCCAAGTGAGAGCCGAAGTGCCCTGAGGACCCTCGACCCCAGCCTGGCATCTCTCACCCACCCACCTGGCAGTGCCAGGTAACGCTGCACCGGGCTGTGTGTGGGGCTGGGGGTGAGAAGGGGGCTGGGGAGGGCCAGGGACCCCCCTGATGGCTCTGTTCTCTCCCCCAGCTCACAGCCCTTGGAGCAGGAGTTCACCTGTCCCGGCCTCCCCCAGGTGAGCAGGGAGCTGGGGGGGCTGCAGGGGGCCGGGCAGAGATGCTGGGGGGACCAAAACCTTTTGAACCCAAAAACCATCCCCCTCTGCACCCCCAAACCATCCCCATTTTAAAGCCCAAACCACCCTGCTTTGAACCACCAAACCTTGCCCCTTTGCAATGCTAAACCTTCCCCCCTCGAGCCCCCAAATCACCTCATTTGAAGTCCCCAAACCACCCTCCTTTGAGCCCCAAAACAACCCCACTCTGAGCCCCCAAACCACTCCCTCTGCACTCCCACGGCCACGTCACTGCCCAGCCCCGCTGTCCCTCGGGGTCCCCGTCTGGGGTGGGTGCCGCGGGTGTCCCCTCCCCGCCGCGCTGGCAGCACCCCCGGCCCGCGGGCACCGCCGCACCTGCCCAGGGATGTTTTGCTCCTCTTGGCAGCGGCGCCAGCCTGGGGAGGCCAAACCAGTTTGGGAAGGCCCAGCCCCGCTCCTGCCAGCCCGGGGCACTGGGGTGTTGGCCGGGCAGGGACCCGCGGCGGGACACCCCGGGACTGGGATCGGGACACCCCGGGATTGGGATCGGGACACCCCGAGAGTGGGATCGGGACACCCCGGGAGTGGGATCGGGATGCCCGGGGGCTGGCTGCCTCCTCCCTCCCCAGCTCGGTGCCAGGATGCCCGCGGCTGCCCCATCCTCCCTGCGGGCAGCCTCTGGCTCCGGCCTTGGCGTCTCCCTCCTTTCCTCCCTCCCGCTTTCTCTTTTTCTTGTTTTTCAAGCCCAAATTGGGAAGCGCCGCGGCCCCGAGCGCGGCCCTTCCCAGCTGCCTTTGGCCGCAGCCCCGGCCGCCCCTTGGCTCCTCCGGCCCTCTCCCTCCTTCCTCCCCAGCTCCTTGTTTGCTTTGGTGCCGGCTCCGAAGGGTCCCTCCCTGTCCCACCGGGTCCGTCCCTGCCCCCGAGGGTCCCTCCCAGCTCCGCCACAGGGTTGGGGACAGGAGGGTGCCGTGCCCGAGCCCCCACCCAAGACCCCGCGGCCCAGGGGCGGTGAGGGGGTGGCTGCCCTTGGTCCATCCCACTCCTCCTCGCATCCCAGGGATGAGGCCAAGGCCCGGCTCCTCCCGTGCCTAAGTTTAGCTCATCCCTCGTGACCCCACAGAGCCCCGGCGCTGCCCCTCTCCCTCTCCGCGGGTCCAGGCAGGGGGTTCCTGTGCCCTGCGCCCACCCGGGGTCCCGCGGGGTTCATTCCCATTCCCATTCCCATTCCCATTCCCCATCCCATCTGCGTGGCAGCTGCTCCCGGCAACATCAGCTTCCACTTAGCCCGGGCTGCGCTTCCCGGCCACGCCGGGGCCGCTAAGCAGGAGCAGATGGAGGGGAGGGGAGGGGAGGGGCGCTGGGTTATGGGGTGGGGGGGCTGCCCTGGCCCCTCTGGGGGGTCCCACTGGCCCCAGCCTGGGTGGGAAGGAGAAGCAGCAGCCCCACTGAGCATCCCTGCATCCCTCTGGAGATCTGGGCTTGGGGAAAGCCCCTGGGCCTGGGCCAGGTGTCCTTGGGGTGTCTCGGGGAGAGGGGGGGTCTGTGGGCACCCTCAGGCCATTTTGGGGGCTGCTGCAGCCATTTGGGGCTCCCAGCCCAGCCCAGCCCCCCCAGGACATTCCTCACTTCTCCCCCTGCCAGGAGCGACGCCTGAGCCGCCAGAGCAGCTCCCAGGGGGCCGTCCTGCCTCCCCCCCCGCGCCCACCCTCACCGGAGCTCGGAGCCCCCCAAAACCCCTGGGCAACCCCCCGGGAGAGGCGCCTCTCCTCCCCCTGTCCCAGCACCTGGCCCAGGTACGGAGCGGGCTGGGGGCTCTGTGGGGGGGACACCATGGAAGGGAAGCCCCCAGCCCCGTGTCCCCACGCTGGTTTGTCACCCGTGGGTGCTGAGGGAGCCCGTGGAAAGGGTTAACTCACCTGTAGGCAGGTGGGGCCGTGGGAGGGCCGGGCAGGCTGGGGCAGCTCCCGGGGTGGAGGGAGCAGGTGGCGGACGGGCCGTGGGGTGCAGCCGGGTGGATCCTGGAATCCGGGCGCTGGGAACCCCCCAAAATCTCCCCTCGGGCTGCGCCCCGCAGCCAGGGCTCGGAGCCGGCCATGAGGCGCTTGGAGGAGGACTCGGAGGTCTACAAGATGCTGCAGGAGAACCGGGAGCTGCGGGCGGCCCCGCGGCAATCCAGCACCTTCCGCCTGCTCCAGGAGGCGCTGGAGGATGAGGAAGGAGGTGAGGAGGGCACGGAGGGCCGTGGGAGGTCTGGCACGGGGGTGGCAGGACCCTGATGGCCTGGTGTCCCCACAGGAGGCCCCGCAGCCCCCTTCCCCAGCCGGCTCTCGGCCGGGGCCCGCAAGCCCGTGGCCGGGGTGCAGAAGCTGCACGTCTGTGAGAAGTGCGGGAGCAGCATCGCGTGAGTGGGGCTGGGGGCCTGGGGGTCCCGGGACTGGGTCTGTCCCTGCCATCCCTGCTGGAAAAGCCAAAAAGGGGCTGCTGTCAGGCGCGGGGCAGGATCTGATCCTGATATTGCTCCCGGCAGGGATAAAATAATCCTGGGTGTGGGTGGGGCAGGTCTCGGGGCAGAACCCATCCCTTCTGTCACTGCCGGAGGGGTTAAAATGGGGCTGAGGGTAGGGTGGGAATGGGGCTGGGGGCCCGGGGGTCCCAGGGCAGGATCCGTCCTTGCCATTGCTTCTTCAGGGCGAAAATGGGGGCGGTCCTGGGGTGTGAGTGGTCCCGGGGAGGGATCCATCCCTGCCATCGCTCCAGGGCCACCATGGGGCTGCGCCCGGGTGGGAGGGGACGCTGGGGACACCCGGAGTGGCTCGGCTGACCGCCTGTCCCCACTCCCGCAGGACACAGGCGGTGCGGATCCAGGACGGTCGCTACCGGCACCCGTCCTGCTACACCTGCGCCGACTGCGGCCTCAGCCTGAAGATGCGCGGCCACTTCTGGGTGGGGGACGAGCTGTTCTGCGAGAAACACGCCCGCCTGCGCTACCAGGGACCCCCGGGGGGGCCCGTGCCCCGTCCCGTGTCCCCCCGCTCCTGAGCCCCGGCCGCCGGCACCGCGCGGTGCGGTCACCCCGCATCCCCCGTGGGCCGGGGCTGTCCCACCCCAGCGCGGTAGGGCTGGCCTGGGGGGCTGGGGGCGCTGCCAGGCTGGGGATGGATGGGATGTGGGGGGCATGCGGTGCAGCCGCCCCCTTCGTGGGTGTGTGTGATGAGCTGGGTGAGTTCTCAGCCTGGGGGACACCGAGGGGACATTGGGGCGGGGTCGCTTGAGCACTTGGGTACCGGAGAGGGGCTGGCACCGCTTGTGCACTGACTGCAAAGCGCTTCTCAGAGGAATTAAAGCGGATTCTCTTTAAATATAATATATATTTGCTCCACTGCCGTGTCTGCTCTGTGCCGGGACCCCAGGGCAGGGGGAAGAGGGTTCTACCCCAAACCCGGGGTGCAGACAGGGACCCCCCCAGACCCCTCAGCCCTGCTGCCTGCACCGGGGGTGGGGGTCCAGGTGCTCCGGTGCCGCCCCTTGTCCTGCTCCCGGGAAGGTCGGGGCTGCCCTCAGGGCTGGCTGGCCCCTCCCCGTGTCCCTGGGAGGTGTCCGAGTTTACTGGGGGCTGTTGGCCGAGGCCTTTGTCCTGCTCCAGGTGCTCTTATCGCCGCTCCCCGCCCTCCGTGCCCGCGTGCACGGAGATGGCTTTGCTGTTATCTGGGCGTTGCTGTTATCTGGGATTCGCTATTATCTGGGATTCGCTGTTATCAGCGGCCTGGGAGAGACCTGTCCCTTCCCCTGTCCCTCTGCAGCAGGGACAGCCAGGACCGCCCCCTCCCCTCCTGCCTGGGGTCTCACTGGGGTCTGTTCGGGGTGTGCCACAGCCCCCCGTGAGCCCTGGGCCCTGTCATGGAGCTCCCACCATCGAATTCCCAATGAATCACCCCAGGGCAGCTGGGGCTGCCCCTGGATCCCAGGATGGAAGGGATCAGCTTGGGATGGAGCAGCCTGGGACAGTGGGAGGCGTCCCTGCCCATGGCAGGGGTGGCACTGGATGGGCTTTAAGGTCTCAACCCAACCGTTCCATGGCTCTATGACACCCAGGCAGGGAGGCGGATGATGATGATGATGATGATCGTCCTGCCCTTCTCCCGCCCTCTCCACACGGGAAAAAGAAGAATAAACGCTTTGAGCCCTCATGGGATAACACAGCTGGGGCTGGGGGCGAAGGGGCTGCCCAGGTAGGGGCGGCCCCTCACCCCCGCCCCGCCCCGGGGCTGTGCCGCCCCCGGCCCCGCCGGATAAAGCAGCGGAGGAGCAGCCCCCGTGCTCCCTGCCGCCTCCCGGTGCTCCCTGCCCGCTCCCTATTCCCGGGTTTTTCCCCCCTCGCTCCCGAAACGTCCCGAGGATGCTGCGCCGCCGCGGAGCCTTCACGGTGCAGCCGCTCCGTGCTGACCCCGGTGAGTCGGTGGCCCCTGGGCTGGGGGTTCCCTCGGGGTCCCAGCCTGCGAGGATCATGCTGGAGGGGATCCTCAGGGATCTCTGCTTTGAGGTGTCTGTGCTGGAGAGGGAACCTGGGGTCCTTGGAACCCCAGTTTGTGTTTGGGCTTGAGAAGGAGCCCAGGGGTTCACCGGAACCCCCAGTTTGTGCTAAAGGGGGTCCCTGCAGCCCTGGTTTCCATCCACTCCCTGTTGGGAGGGGCCCACGTACCGGCTGCGCTGGGAATTCAGGTTTTCCCTTCCCATGTTTGGGCTGACGGGCCGGTGCCTGTCCCCAAATGCGGCGTGGGGGTCTCCAAAACCCAGGGCCCACCTCCGAGTGTGCCACAGCCCAGCTGTGCCGGGACCCCTCCAGCAGCAACATCTGGGAGGTATCCAGGGCTGAGCTGGAGCTGCCAAGGCGGGGGGCACCCCCGGGAGGAGCTGATGGGGACCCCCACGCCCCTTCTCGCCCTGCCGGTGCCCCCCACGCCCGTGGGGCTGCGGTGACACCCCCGTGGTGGCGGGGGAAGCGGCCCCTTGGCACGTGGGGTCCCGGAGCCTGTGGAATCGCGGCGTGTGGGAAGGGGGATGCTGGCAGCGGCCACGGAGCTGCGGTGGAGGGGCTGCCCCCCGGAATTCCTGGGATTCAATCCTGCTGGGGCGGGCGGGCTGCTCCCCGGCATTGCTGCGCTTCAATCCCACTGAGCGGCCGGATTGTCCCGGGGCTGGCCGCGACTTCCCGGCTCCCCTCGGCTTCTCCAGCCCCCGAGGGATGCACGGTGAGTGCCGTGGCTGCAGGAGGGGCAGGAATTTGGGAGCACCGAGACCCCCGAGCGGTGAATTCAGCCCACGCTGGAGCCCTGAGTGAGTTTTCTGGAATTCGGTGGGATGCAGGCGGCACCTGGCTGCCTGCCGGCGCCCAAACAACCCTCTCGCCTTCCCAGCTGGGGTGGGAAGGAGTCCTTAACCACCGGCCCAGCCAGTATCGCTGATCCCAAACGCTGCGAGGAACCAGTTGGGAACCGGTCGGGTAATGAGGTGCCTCTGGATGCAGGGCCCGTCGCCGGCTGGGGTGGCAATAAAAGGGAGCGCCGGGACGCGCGCCCGGCACTCGGCTCTGGCTCTCGGCGATGTGGGGTGGCTCCCGCGCCGTCTGGAAGAGGAGGTTCAGCTGCTGTGAGTGCGTTCGAGGGGGTGTAAGCCCCCCCCGAGCGGGGCTTTGGGGGGTGGGCAGCCTGCAGGAGGTGCCAAAGCTCCGCTGCCACCTCCCTGAGCCGCGGCCTGGCTGGGAAGGGAGCGAGTGCTGGGCACGGAGTGCCGAGACCTTGCCGTGGATGCAGCACGATCCCCGCTGGAGCTGCGGGGTGCTGGGGGGCACATCCCGGCTGGCGATGCCACTCATCCTACGGGGACAGGTGTGAGGAGCTGGTGGTCCTGGAGCCATCCCAGATCTGGGATCCCCCAGCCGTGTCCTGGGTTGCTGGCACTGAGCTGGAGGGGGATACAGGAAGGACCTGGCTCAAAAGCCCTGCCCAGGTCAGGGTGGGGGCCGTGGGTGCCCCCCAGCAGCTCAGCTTGGGAGGAGGAGGAGAATGGCTGAGGCCAGGGCCTTGTTTTTGGGGAGTAGAGACAACACACTGGGGTTGTAGGAGCGTATTCCCAGCTGCTGGGCAGGGGGGAGAGAGGCCTTGAGCACGGTTGGAGCTGCTGCAGGGGGCTTACAGGGGTGGTGGGCACCCAGTTTTCTGCCCAGGGACCCCCCAGCTGAGCCCACCCATCTTCCTTTGCCCTGCAGATGGTCCCTGGGAGTCGGCCGAGAGCTGCATCGTGCGCACCTCCGCCAGCGTCTACCGCCGGCTGCAGGAGAGCCCGCGGCAGCCCCCGCGGGGCATGAGCACCCGGGGACCCCCCCCGCCGCCAGCGCAGCCCCCCAGCAGCCCCCCGGCCGGCGGGAGGTTCCTCAAGTCCGAGTCCGAGGATTCCGGCGTGGAGATGGCCAGCAGCGAGCACTCGCCCCGCGCCCTGCTGTGCTCCGAGAGCCACTTCTCCCTGGACAGTTTCCCGGCGGAGGAGAAGCCCCCCGGAGAGGAGCCCCCCCGGACCCCCCGGAGCCGCTCGGCCAGCAGGAGGCTGCTGCAGGCAGCGCAGCGGAGCAGGAGGCAGCGCTGCCCTCGCCAGCTCAGCCGGCGCAGCGCCAGCGCCGCCGACCTGGCAGAGCCCCCGCGGGACCCCCAGGAGGCCGAGGGAGCGGCGGGGGCGACTCGGCCCCCTCGGGACCCCCGGGCCATGCCCGAGGCCGCGGTGTCGGGACAGGGGCTGCGCTACCTGGAGCACGTGTGCCAGATGCTGGAGCGCCTGGCGCGGCTGCAGCAGGACAACCGCGCCCTCCGGCAGCAGGCGGCCGGAGCCCGCTGCGCCCGCCCGGCCACGCTGGTGAGCGCCGGGAGGAGGGGGATGCACGGGGAGGGGGTGTGGGGGTCCCAGCTCACACGCTGCCCGTCCTCTCCTCGCCCGCAGCCCAGCCGGCAGCCTCCGAGTCAGGATTTGGGCACCTGGAGGGGTGAGGGGTTCCGGCCGCGCTCCTGCTCGGACAGCCAGGCTCCAGGTGAGCGGGGTGGGCTCGGGAATGACGGCACCTGGGGCCAGGTGAGCACTGGGGGATGCGGGAATGGCAGCACCGGTGCCAGGTGAGCGGGGTGGGATGGCGGGACCGGGTGAGGGGTCAGCATGTGGGAAGGCAGCACGATGCCTCCCCGACCCCCAAGCTTGACCAGCTTTGCTCCCCCTTGCAGCAGCCGACCCCGGGCCGTGCCGGAGGTTGTGGGGACACTCGGTCAGCTCCCCCAGCCTGCTGGACCCCGCCGAAGGCGGGCCGGGTGTCCCGGCACCGGACAAGGTACGGCTGGGGAGGGTCGGGGAGTGGCGGGGGAGCCCCTGGGGTGTCCCCTCTGACCGCGCCTCTCCCGCAGGACGGGCGCTCGCACTGGGGCCGGGTGAAGGTGCTGCTCACCCGCCTGACCCGCCGCTCCCTGCGCGGTGGCCGCTGCAGGTAGGACGGGGGGTCCCGCTCCCACCGCCACACCTGGATGGAGGAACTGCGTCACACCTCACCCCATGACGTCACGCCAGCCCGGGGCCGGTCCCCGGCCTGGCGCACCCCCTTCACCTTTTTTTTTTTTACCCTAATAAAGTCTTTTCACCAATAAAGAGGCGGCTCTGAGCGAGGTGTTTCCTGTCGCGCCGTGACGTCACACCCCTAAACCCGGCGTGACGTCATGAGAGGGCGCGTCACTGCCGCATCACTTCCGACGGCTTTCCCGCCCCTTTTGTCCCACCGGGCCCGGGCCCACGGACGGTCCAAGCGGCTGCCGAGCCTCCGAACTTGTCCTTCCCCCGGAGCCCCCCGGGGGTTGGTGGGGAGGAGGGGGCGCCGGGGGTCCCCGCCGAGGCGGGATGATGCTCCCGGGAGCATCGCGGCTCTCTCGCGGGGGGCTCCCCACTTTGGGGGGTGGGTGAGGAGGGGGCTCGATGCTGTTTCGGCGCTGCCGGAGCCCCTCCTGCTGTCGCCAGCTCCGCGCGGGACGGGCCGGTGCCGCAGGTGAGGAAGATGCTGCCCCGAGCCGCCGCCAGGCGCTCTCCCGTCAGGTATCCCGTTATCCCTCCCTTTCCCCCCTTTCCTGCTGATGTCCTACCGTCACTTGGGGTTTTTTCCTTCCCAGCGCCTCCCGGCACCGCTCCCACCCTGGGGACACCCCCGGAGCCGCAGCGTCCCGCGTCCCACCGCTCCTTCCCGGGAACCGTGAGTGCCTGTCCCCGCCGTGCCCACCCTCATGGCAGGGCCTGGGGGCACAGGGGGTCCCTGGCAGTGCCCCCCGGCTGGCTCACAGCCTGAGCGGGGGTGCTGAAGGGTTTTTGGAGCACAGCTAGGGGGGGCAGTGTGTTTTATCCTTTATCCCCCCCTTTCCAGCATGAAACCCCCTCCCATTGCCACCCCTCTGCTCTCCCGAGCCCCCGGGGTGAGGAGCAATGGGGAGGGGCTCGGGGAGGTGGTGGAAGGACAGGGCTGGGTGTTCTCACCCTGGGGGTCTGGGCACCCTCTCCCCTGCTGCCCCTCTGCCACCTCCATCTTCCCCCTCACCGGGACCCCGGCTGAATCCCAGTGGCTGAATCCCAGTGGCTGATCCCAAGGAAATCGCTGAGGCTGGACCAGGGGATGCCGATTCTCCTTCCAGGGCCCAGGTGAGGAGGAGGAAGGAGGTCTGAGCCTCTCTGAGCCACCCCAGCACCCCTGGATCACCTGGAACAAGGGGAAGCTCCCGAGCACCTACCAAGGAAAATCAAGGTGTGGATCCAGATGTGTGCTGGTGTTGGCAGGCCTGGAGAGGGTTAATTCATCCCATTTGTGAGGAAAATCCTTGGGACTGGTGGTGGGCTGGCATCTGCTAAACCTATCCCGAGGGGATTTGGGGAGGAAGGGAGACAACCAGTGGGCTAACCCGGAATTCCTGATGGGGAGGACAAAGGAGGAGGATTTGCTCAGCAGCAGGGAATGCTCCCCGTGCCCCTCACGGATCCTCCTGGGGCAGAACTTCCCTTCCCTCTGCTCCTGCAGGTCTGAGTGCTGGTGAACCTCACCCAGGCTGAGCACGTTCCTCACTGTAGAGTGAGTTTTCCCTTCCTGCCAGCTCTCCCTATTAACGCTGGGATCTTGTGGGTGGTGCAAAACCTGGTAATTATCCACTTTTTACTACAAAAGATGGAATTCTCCTCCCCAACCACTGCGGAGAGTAGGCAGAGTGAATCCCTGGGAACGCCTGGGTTGAAGTTTCCATGGGTGACATCCCTCTCCTGAGGGCTGGGAGGGCAGCAGGAGCTGAAGGCACGGACCAGGAGCTGGGATTTGGGGATGCTCTGAGTGCAGGACAGGCGGGTGCTGGGGGAGAGGTGGCCGGGGAGGTCTGGCTGTGCCACACAGGGTGACAGTGATGTGGACAAAGCCACCAGGTGGGTTCAGGTGAGCCCAGGTGGGCTTGAATCCAGGGAGGAATCAACACCTCCAGGCCACAGAGGGATCTTGGCCCATTTGGGAGCCACACTGAGGTCTGCAGGGCTCAGATCCCGTGGGGGAGCGTGTCCCTTGCTCGGGCTCACGGGCTCTGTGCGTGGCAGTTAAATATATATATAAATATCTATATTCTGTATATTTAGCATCCCTGCTCTGGGTAACCGTGGCAACTGGGTTTATTTTGCTTAAACCTGGCCTGGCATGTGATGTGGTTGGGAAGGAACAGCCAAGGGGAGAGGGAGGGATGAAGTTCTCCATGCTGGGAGCTGGGGAGGAGCCTTGGCATGGGATGCTCTGGGGGGGACCTCACTGTGCACTGGGGACAGCCACCAGCCTTCCCACAGCTCTGCTCCATGCCCTTTGCTCCAGCTGGGAAGGGAAGGTTTGGTTTTAGGGGTTCCATCCCCATTTTCTGCTGGGCTTCCCAGGATACCCCTGAGCCCTGTTCCCTGTCTCGTGCAGGTTTGCCAAACCCAGGTCCTGGTGGGAAGAGGTGGTGATGGTTTCCCTGGTGTCTGGAGCCGTGTGCCCTCACCTGGAGCAGCAGGAGCCTCGTGCCACCCCAGGGCAGATGAGGGACCTTTGTCACCTCCACCAGAACCTCACCAGGGTGGGCTTCCAACCCCTTATCCCAAGCAGCATCTGCTCACCCCAGGGCACAGCAGGCAGCCTCTCCTTATCCTGAAAGGCTCCAGCCCTGCCCCAAATTGCCTCTGTAGTACTGGAAAACTCCATTTCTCGTGCTTTGAGGCCGTTTCCTTGCCGCGCCGCCACGGGGGGATGTTCAATCCCATTTTTCCCTTCCAGGGACACCCCAAGCCCCCCGTGTCCCCCTGCAGTGGCGGCCGGGCGGCGGCAGAGGGCGACAGCGGCCCGGCGGTGACAGCGACACCGGCCCGGTCCCGGCGGTGGCACCGACACGGCCCCGGCCGCGCTGCGCTGCCAAAAACTTTATTGGGGACAAGCCACGGAGTCCCTGCGGCCCTTCTGCACACCGAGGAGGGGGTGCAGCCCCCCAGTTTTCCATAGGTTTGCTCCTGGCTGGGTTGTCTCCCTTAGGGATGTCCCCACCTGTCCCTGCTCTGGGGTCCCCTGGGCACACCCTGCACCCCCCAGCTCTGGGGCACAGGCTCTTTGTAGCATTCCTGGGAAAAGAGGGATGGATGCTCACCATGACAAGCATCACCCTCTCCCTGTACCTCAAAAAATGGGATTTGAGTGAATTTCCCCTTCCCTGAGGGGACCACTGGGCTACTAAGGCACAAAATGAGGGGAAGGAGTGGGGGGGTCTCACCCTCTGGGCTCTGGGGATGCCAAGGGAGGCTGGAACCTGGGAAAATCCAGCACCCCATATCCCACTCCCCATCTTCATCCGAGTGGGATCGTTCCCTTTCCTGCTCCTCCACACCCCAAAATTTAAGGCACAACTCATTCACGGCCTGACAAAGACGATCCGGACCCCGGCAGGAGCGCAGAGCCGTGGGGCAACGGGAGCAGCTCCGTGGGCTTGCGGGTGGGGGGGGGGACCCACAAGTCCATCCCTGGGAGGGGAGCCGGGGTGAAAGGGGGGGATCCCCATCCCCTCCCCGTCCCCAGCCTGGCCTCAGTCGTCGGCCACGATGGAGAGGGCGCGGAGCTCGCCCAGCTTGGCGTCGTTCTCCCGCTCGCGCTGCTCGTCGCTCAGCCCGGGCCGGTCGATCTGCGCCGTCAGGTCCCCAAAAATCTTGTGCATCTCCGTGTAGTAAACAACCTGTTGGATCAAGGGGGATTGGGGAGGGAGGGGAATGGGGGTCTCCTCCCCAGCCCACCCCCCCGCGGGTGCCCTCGGCAGCCCCTCTGCGCGGCGGTGGTGTCTGAAATAGCTCCCTCCCACGTGGCCATGCCACCCCCTCGGATTATTACAACTCAACACATTTTAATAACACGCTGCCCTTCTCTGCTCGCTTCCCATCTGGGAGCCGCGCGTGCGGGGCTGCCACCGGCACCGCCACCCTCCCGCAGCCGCCTCGTCCCCTCGTTTGTCACCGGTGCCACCGGCACGAGCTGCCTGCCCACGGCCCGCTGGGCACGGTGGGCAGGGCGAGGGGCTCGGTGGGCTCGGCGAGGGGGCACGCCCGGCAGCGCCGTGCCCCGTGCGAAGCACGGCGAGGAGGAGGAGGAGGGGTGTGTTAATAACGTGCTAATTAGCACCGCCAATTATCTCCGGCAGCGAGCAGCGCTTGCCGGCGCGGGAGCCCGTGGGTCAGCGCAGGCAGATGGCAGCGGGGTGGCTGCTCGGGCGCGGGCTCCAGCGGGGAGAGGGGGGGTCCCAGCCCTGCCTGGGAGACCCTCGGGGCTGTGGGACCCCCTCGGTGTCGCAGGACCAGCGGCACTGCGGGACCCTCATGCTGCGGGACCCCCAGCCCCGCCTGTGGGAGCCCCAGCACTGGGGGGGCCAGCCCTGACTGTGGGACCCCCAATGCTGCTTGGGCACTCCTGGTGCTGCGGGATGCCAGTGCTGCCTGTGAGACCCCCGGAACTACAGAACCTCCGGGTACCACAGAGCCCCTTGCTGTAGGACCCCAGGTGCCACAGGACCCCCAGACCTGCCTGTGAGACCCCTGGCACTGCAGGACCCCTGGTGCCGTGCCAGGTGTGGGATCCTGCCCTGGATCTCCCCCCACATCCCCCAGGGAGGGACAGGGGAGCGCAGCCCCCCAGGATGGGCAATGCCAGCGCTGTCCCCATTTCCCACAAGGGCCCCAGCATCTCCAGCAGCACCGGTGCTGAGACATCCACAGTCTCCATGGAGACCAGCTCCCCTAATCCTGCTCAAAATGATGCCGATTTTGGGCAGGCCTGAGGGGGTGTGGTGGGGACCCCACATTCCAGTGCTGGCTGCCTGAACCCCCCTTCCCAGGCCTGGCCATGCCAGGGGCCCGGGGGCTGCTCCGTGGCCGGGGCTCCCCACGCAGCGGTGCCAGCTGAGTCACAGCAATGCTCATTTACACAGTGACTAACGAACCCCACACAGGGCTGAGCTGGCAGGGGCCCCCCAAAATCCCTGCACCCCCCCAAACCACAACCCCACAGCTGGGTCACCCCGAACATCCTCTGAAACCTGCTGCCAGCCAGAGATGCCAAAAACACCTGAAATCCTCTGGCAATGCCATGGGTGAGCAGGGATCTGGGGGGCAGGGGTGCCAAGCGGGGTGCCAGAGCCCTGGAGCAGCCCTCCGTGTCCCTTGTCCCCAGGCTGGAGTCAGCTGGGCTCTGCTCAGTCACATATGGCCAAGTGGCACTGCCAAATCCAGCACAGAAAAAGCTGAATCTTGTCAGGGTGGCAGGCCTGGAGGCAGATGCTGCCCCCAGGGTTGTCCCCCAAGATTTGGGGACATCTGTCCCTCAGGATTGGTCCCAGGATTGTTCCCCAGGATTTGGGGACAATTGTCCCCCAGGATTGCCTCCAGAACTGCCCCTCCACCAGGATCCAGAAATCCCTGAGAATTCCTCCAGGACCAGGATTGTCCCCCACGATTTTCCTCAGGATTGAGCCCAGGACTGTCCCCAGGATTGTCCCCAGGACTGCCCCCCAGCACCCATACTGCACTGAACGGGCAGAGCAGAGCGAACTCCCCGGTGCTGCTCCCCCTCCACCCACGTCCCACAGCCACCGGTCCCTTCCCCAGGGACACCCCAGGTCCCCAGGGCCTGGTGGGTGTCCTTGGGGACACCCCGTGTCCCCAGGGCCTGGTGGGCATCCCTGGGGATGCTCCTCTCCCCAGCAGGTCCCAGTGCAGAACCAGTTGGCACCACCTGGCCGCTGCCCTGCCTTGCCAGCCGAGTCTCCCGAGCTTCATCAACAAAATCCCACTGGCATCGACTCCCCCATGATTTCTCCTGTTGAAACAGAAGTGAAAACCCTCTCAGGGAGGGGATGCACCCCAAACTGGTGGCAGTGACAGGGGGCAGCCAGCTCACCCTGCCCTACCTGCTCTGCCAGCCCAGTACTTTTCCAGCTATGGATGCCATATGCTCTGTCCCCATCCCATCAAATCCCAGCTCCAACTCGCCTTTGAGCCTGAGCCAACGGCCCTGAGTCCACCTGTCTTGAACTAATTCTGTTTGGGGACGCTGTGTTCCGTGGATTTTCTATAGATCCTGGCCACAATGGCCCAGTGGCCGCTCGTTTGGGGCAGCCCTACCCAAAACAAACCCAGGGGCACTGCCAGGGCCAGGCTCCCCCAGCCCTCAGCACCATCCCTGCCTGCCAGCCCCACCTTTCCCCCCATTCCATTCAAATCCAGAGGAATCTCCTGTTTTCTAGCTGGAAAATAAAGCACAAAGCGGGAAGGAAGTGCTGTTCACGCCTCACACCAGCGACAGCTCCAAAATCTCCCCCTTTCATCTCCATGTGGCCACTTCAAAGCCCCCAGCCAGGGAAATATTTGCCTCCCTTGGCTTGGCCCGGGCCCGTGGGTGGAGAGAAGAATTTGGTGTTGAATGTTACAGCCCTGCGAGCTCGGGACATGTCCCGGCGTCAGGAGACAGCCAGCCCTGGGAGCACAGCCAGGCTGTGCCATGGGAACTCGCCCGGGGAAGAGCCTTGGGAGGGTCTCCTTGGGTCAAAGCCATGGAGGTGCTTGGGAGCAGGGTCCTTCCCTTCCCCGAGAGGCAGCTGGTCCCTTCCCAGCTCATCGTGGCACTGGATGGTGTCACTGTCACACAATTTGTCTTGCTTTAAGTCCCGGCTGCCTCCAGGGCCAAAAAATCAGGAAAATGACATGGTTTTGCCTTTGGATGGTGGGTTTGACTCAGGGAGAAACAACCCCAAAGTCACAGCAGCCTGCCCGGGGCCAGCTGATCCCTGTCCCACCCCATCCAGCCTTTTCCTTGTGGGATTCACCTCCAGCCTCATCCCACTCCTAAAGAGGTACCTGCAGAAAAGGCTGAAAATAGAAATTACATCGAGGAACACGACCCTCCCCAGCTGCTAATCAGCTCAGGCAGGCACAGAGGGAGGGAAAGCTGGGCAGTATTTCCGTGCCAGCTCTCTCCTGGGATGGGGATGCTCCTGCCTGCCCTTCCCAGCCAGGTGCCTGCAGGTGAGCAGTGCTGAGCTGACTCAGGGCTCTGGCTGCTATTCCTGGCTCGCCACTGACTCACTACCTTGGGCAAATCACATCCCTTTTCCATTTTATTTCAGCCACTTCAGTGGGAAAATGCTTCACAGTGCTCCCGAGCCAGGGGGGCACATGGAGCCCAAGCCCAGCTTTGGCACAAATATTCCCAGCTCTCCTCCCAGCATCTCTCCCCGGGGGTGGAAGGATGCAGCCAGTGCTGGGAAGGAACAGGGATGCAGCTCCCATGGAGGCTGGCAGGGAGGGAGGGATGTGAGGAGCTGCATCCATCTGGGACCAGCTTTAAGTCCAGCCTACGGGAGATGCATCAGCTTTGTTGTGACGCTGCCTTTTTGGGTGCTAAAAACGGGATTTCACTCAGTTTTCCCAACAAATTCCTCACCTGAAGAGAGGCAGGGGGGATAGACAGGAAAGAAAGCAGAGGATTCCCAAGGAAGAAGAGGGATATGGATGGAGAGTCTCACAGACAGCCCCAGCAGTGACACCCTGCTGCTCCCTGCTTGCATCCCTGGGCGATCTAAGCACACCTATCCCAATGTCCTCCTCACCCCAAATTCCTTGGGAATCGGGACACAAACGGAGCGAGAAACCAGAGGGGCAAAGCTGAAAAAACTCACGGATCACAAAACCCCGGAGAGGGCAGAGAAAATTCAGGTTTCAAGGTCTCACCCACGGAGGGGGTCCACAGGAGGGAAGGGCGAGCAAGACTCTGGGAATTGTGGTTATTCCAGGCTGGAACAGGGAGCCCCGTGCCCGATTGCTAAGGGAACAGCAGGAACAGCATCCCCAGCACCCACCCTGCGGCGCAGGGAGCATCGGCACCATCTGCTAGGTGAATCAGCCTGCAGACAACTCGCTGGCAGCTCCGCAGAGAGGCCCCCCCAAGTCGGAGGTGAGATGGAACACGTGCTCCCGGCACCTCCCGGCGGCCCCCCCGCAGCGCACCTGGGTCCCTGCGGCAGCTCCCGGCCCCAAAATGCCGCAGGAAAACGCCCACGGCCCGGGCAGCGCCCGGTTCCGCCCTCCTCCCCGCGCTGGACTGCCCCAGGAGCCGCGGCACGGGGTGCCAGAGGTTCTCAAAGCTTGGTGAGATCCCAACCCTGCCCCTCTGCAGCCTCTAAGGGAAAGGGCAAAGGGAGAAGAGAGGAGGAGGAGCCACAGCACGTTCAGAAGGAAGCTGGAGGATGGAAATGAAAGCCAGTGGTTATTCAGGGCACCTCTTCCAACAAATCTTTGTTCTGGAGATGTCCCAGGAGCCTCTTCTCCACTCACCAGGAGCCACAAGATGAGCCCAAACACCTCAAACCTAACCAAGTCCTGAGTTCAGGACTCCACATTCAAGGAGATGGCATTCCCAGGTGGATAAAGCCATGGAATTCCAGTGGATAAAGCACAGGCAGGGCTGGAACCGTGGCACAGGACACAACACAGGTACCAGGGAGGGACAATTTCTCACCTGTGCTCGGACCAGTGATTCAAAGCTGGGTTTGAAGTAATCGATGCGGCTGCTGTAGAATTTGGGCATCTCCTCCAGGAGCTGCTTGTTCTTGGCTTCAAAGTCCTCCTTCACTGGGCGCAGCTCCTCCCGGGCCTGCAGGGGGACATGGAGGGGGTCAGAGTCCTGGGACAGGGATCCCCCTGGCATGGAGGCCACCCCAGGACAATGGGGTGCTTTGCTTGATTGTGGGGACGAGCAGTCACCAGCCTGGTGGGACCCATGGGATCATCCAATGGAATCTGGTGGGATCCACGTGACCATCCAATGGTGGAACTCAAGTGACCATCCAGTGGGATCTGGTGGGATCCAAATGACCACTCAATGGACCCTGATGGGATCCAAGTGACCATCCAATGGGACCTGGTAGGATCCAAGAGACCATTCAATGGACCCTGGTGAGATCCAAGTGACCATTCAATGGACCTTGGTGAGATCCAAGTGACCATCCAATGGAATCTGGTGGGACTCAAGTAACCATACAATGGACCCTGCTGGGATCCAAGTGACCAGTTAATAGGACCTGGTGGGGCTCAAGTGACCTCTCAATGGAACCGGGTGGGGCCTAAGTGAGCAGTTGATGGATTCTGATGGGACCATCCAGTGGACCCGTGCTCTGACCCTGGAAATCCACAGGACACCCAAAGAGGTTGTGCCTTCTCTCCTTCAGAAAAACAGACAAAACCCATTCCCAGAGCTCAGTCAGGCTGGAGAACGTCCCTGGCCACATCCCTGTCCCCTCACCCTGCTATTCCCAGGAGTGTCGCTCCAGGATCCTGCCCCCACCGTCACCATGACCTTCAGCTCAGTGCATCCAACTGGCTCCTTTAAACAGAGCGTGGGGAGAACGGGAAATGTCTCGGGGATGGTGTGGAAAAGGGCAGGAGGGGGTGGGCTGTGAAATATTAGACCAGTTCAAGTCTGCCACTTAATCCCGGTGCCATTCCGACGGGAGGGGGGAGCGGGAGAGCCCGGCCCGGCCGCGGCGCCGGCCCTGGGGACAGGGACAGCGTGCCAGGGGCATGGCATGGACTGGGCTCCAGGCTGGAAAAGGCTGGAATCAGCCCAGCAAAGGAGCAAATTCATCATTTGCCATGAGGCTGGGAGCGTTGAAACTCCCAGGATGGAGTTCATGGGGGGAAACTTCTGGGATGGAACCCATGGGGAAAACTCCAAGGATGGAGTTCATGGGGAAAAACTCCTGGGATGGAACCCATGGGGAAAACTCCAAGGATGGAGTTCATGGGGAAAAACTCCTGGGATAGAGTTCATGGGGGAAACTCCCAAGATGGGGTTTGTGGGGCAAACTCCTGGGATGGAGTTCATGGGGAAAAACTCCTGGGATAGAGTTCATGGGGAAAACTCCTGGGATGGAGTTCATGGCAGGAAAACCCCAGGATGGAACCAGGGGAAAACTGGGATGGAGTTCATTGGGGAAACTCCCAGCATGGACTTCACAGGGGGCAGAAGAGCAGAAAACTTGGAGCAAACAATGGATGTAAATTTGCAGCTCAATAATTAAAAATACCTGGATGAGATGGGGCCCTCTCCCATTAAATCCAGACCCTCTGGATACTCCAGGTTCAGGATTGCTCAAGGCTCCCTCTCACAGGTGTTTAAACTCAGTGTTTGGTTAAGATTTTTTTTTTTTTTTTTGGGGGGGGGGAATTAGATCAAAAGTTCATTAAGAGGAAAAATATATGAAATAACTAAACCCTGCTTAATCACCAGACAAAAGAATTCCCATTTTTCAAGCCCCAGCTTTAGTTGCTGAGGCTGAGCAAAATAAGCTGCTTACTGTTAAACCAGAGGTGTCTTTTGTTCAGGCTGTTACTTAACACAAAACTTCATTTTTGGGGGGAAATTCATCAGAAAAACACATTTTCTTTGACTCTGAGAATCAATTGTTCCTGGGAGGATCAAGCCACGTGCTGCTGGAGTGACAGATTTTGGGGAAAAACGCTGGGGAAGATTTGATTTAAAAAAAAAAAACAAAACCAACAAACTCATCACGATTTCACAAAATTTGGGAGAGAGCAAAAAGAATCTGGCAAAACTTCCTGTTAACCAATTACTGCAATTTTCCAAGACGAATTTTTTGGGAACAGGTGGCAAACATAAAGCTGGGAAATGCTCTGATCTGTTCCCTTCCCCATCCAGCTGCTCGCTCAGACGCGGAGGTCGGGGGGAACCCCCCTGTGCCTCGACCTCAGCGCTGGCTCCGAGCTCCCCCAGAGCTCCCAGGGCTCTGATTCCATTTTCTCTCGGAAAAAAAATTCCATTTTCTCTTAGAAAAGCAGCTCCTTCCCTTCACTGAGCACTCAAAACCAGCGTTGTGCTGTCAAAAATGTGATTTTTACACGGATAAAAGACATCCTCCCAAAATGTTCTATTCATGGCACAGATGCCAGATAGAGGGAAAAGCTTTTCCTGAGTTTTCCCAGGAATGCTGCTGGGATTGTGGCTCTGGGGACACCTCAATACCTGGTGCAGCTTGGCCAGGACAGGGCCAGTTCTCTCCTTTTCCTCATATTTTTCCACCTTGGATTGCAGGCGTTTGTAGTCCTGGAGCGTCTGCTCCCGGCGCTTCACTGCCATGTTCAGGCTCGGGAAGACGCTGCTGAACCTGGAAAAAAAAAAGATGGGAAAGGCTTGGGATGGGATATTTTGGGTGGATGAAGCATCCAAGGAAATTGTGGAGCACCCTGGTGCAGCAGGAAGTTTCCTGCTGTGACAGTGGGTGAGGTTTTTCCAAGCCAAACCGTCCAAGAATTTGGAATATTCTTAATTAATGTGGTGATTCCCCAGTTCCTGGTTGGAAAGGGAAAGAAGAGGTAGAGAAGTTGTAATAAAAGTCCAGGAAAAAGAAAAAAATGAGTGCAAAATAAATATTAACTGCCGATTAAATTTTAAATTAATACAGTTAATTTACAGTTAATAATTAAATATTATCGGTATTATTTTTTTTGCACAATTTTTTTTCCTTTTTGGATATTATTTTTTGGCTTTTTTGTTTTGTTTTTTTGGTGCTTTTTTGTTAATTTTTTGCTCTTTTTGATAATTTTTTTCCTTTTTTTGGTTAATTTTTTGCTCTTTCTGATTGGTTTTTGTTCTTTTTTCAGCAGATTTTTGCTCTTTTTGGGTCACAAACCCAGCTGAAGAGGAGCCCTGAGCCCTCCCCAGAAGGATTCACAGCATCCAACAATTTACCCAGGCGATGGGAAAGATTCCTATTATTAAAATGTGTTACAAATTGAGGAAACATGAACATCTGATGGAGAATATTTTTGAATGTGACAGAAAAGGGAAAAGCAGGAACTGGAACGTTGCTCTTGCCTCTTAATTCCACAAAATCGAATTATCCCGGGGGATACCAGGGCTGTGGGTTGGGATCAAAAAGGTGATACTCCCTCTGGAGATAATAATTTAATATTCATAAATTCCATGGTTATTTTGGGGGTTTGAGGCCTGGGATTGGTGGTGAAAATTTCTCTGAGCAGCCTGGTGATGGATTTTACTTCCACGAAGGAACAAACAGCTTTCTCACCTCTTAAAATGGAAAAATAAAATAGAAGTAGAAATAGAAATCCAACCTGGGGGGCCATTAGGATAAAGAAAAGGCACAAATGTCACTTGATGAGTGTAATTTGCTTTGGATGTGACCCAAATCCAGGGTTCAGGCAGAACCACGGTTGTTCCCAGCCACTGCAGCCCTATCAAAATCCCATTTTCTGCTCACTCTGGAGGGTGCTGATGGGCTGGGCTGGTGGGTGCTGAGAGAAAACTTTCATCCCTGAGCCTGTTTACAAAGGGCAAACGCCAGGAGCAGGGAGAAATGGGAATTTTTGTATCCAAGAGTTTGTGTGGAGCATCCCTGGGCGAGCTGGGGATGTGATCCTTCAATCCTGCCCGGTCCTGCACATCCCCCGAGGCTGGCACAGAACAAATCCACATAAATATAAATATAAATATATATCCCATGATATTCTCCCTCTGTTGCAACAGATTGGGGATGAGGAACAACCTGGAAAAGTCATCAGGGAGCTGCTCCAGCTGCCTGGAGAGGATCAGATGCTCTGCCCTGACATTGCTTTTTATGGGCACCATCCCACACAATCCCATTATATTTAAATGGGAGCCATGTCCTGGATGCTGCAGGCTCCAGGCACGGCCTCACCAGCTCCTGGGCTGCTAAAATCTCTCCTACCTCTCTGTAAAGCTCAAAAATCTGCCAGGAAAAGGGTTAGGGAAATAGGGATGGAGGAAGGGGTGGCCAGGTTGAGAGGTCTCATGGGATACAGGTTTGGGTTCAGGGAATCAGGGAATGGTTTGGGCTGGAAAGGACCTTCAGGACACTCCAGCTGGGGCAGAGACACCTTCCACTGGCCCAGGAGGCTCCAAGCCCACTCCAGCCTGGCCTGGTGCACTTGCAGGGATGTTTTTGTGCCAGGGATGCCCTTTCCCAACATGGCACACACACAATGCCAGCAGCTCAAGGTGACAGCTCCTGCAGGAATTTCACCTTGGAATTGGAATTTCTCCCAGTTGTTAATGATGGGAAGGATTCCATCAGCCCAGAGGCTTTCCTGGTTTCTTTTATGTTCTGTCCCTGCCGGGGGAGGTTTGGGAAGGACACAAATCCTAAAGCAGGGAATAAAGACCATGGGGATGAGCTGAGCTGCTCCTCCACAGTGGGAATCCAGACATGGCAATGCCAGAAGAGATTCCAGGCTGGAGGCTGGGGAGTCCTCCCTTCCCTGCTGTGCACCAAGCCCTGAGCACGGCCACCACATCCAGCAAATCTTGGAAAACCCTTCCTGAGACGTCTCCAAACCACTGAGCCTCGTGCTGGCACCCAAACCCAGCTGTTAGTGGTGTTTTCCTGGCCTTTCCCTGGCACTTGCCAGGGCTCCTGCCTGAACAGAGCCACGGGACTCCAGCGAAGTCACACGCAGCCACTTCCACCCCCAACCTGCTCCACAGGGAAGAGCCAACCCTTCCCCTCGGAACAAGCAGCGAGGGAGGGCTCACAAAACGATCAGCAACGCAGTTTCCATTCACTTTGAAGTTAAATCTGGGTTTGAAAAAGGGAGGAGAAAAAAAAAGCTCGATTTTGATATTTTTTTTCCCCCCTTTTTTATTCCCGATATCGACTCGGTGCAATTTCGCAGCCCGTAATGGAAGGACACTGTGCTCAGGCAGAGCTTTAAAAAATATCTACAGGGCTGGATCTGAAGAGGCTGGAACTGTGTAGGCACAGCAGCTCCTGTCTCACAAGGACTTTTAATGCATAGATTATACGCTGCATTTCCGAGAGCAGGGGGGCCCAGCTCCCCGGAGCCGCAGCCGTGCCCGGCTCCGAGCGCCCTGAGCTCCCCTGGCCACTGGGAACTGTGGAATCCCACATTCCCTGGGTGGGAAGAGACCTTGAATCACCCCGTTCCACCCCCTGCCATGGGCAGGGCACCTCCCACTGTCCCAGGGTGCTCCAAGCTGGCCTTGGGCACTTCCAGAGATGAGGAAGTGTTTTCCAGCTTCTCTGGGCAACCTGGGCCACCCCCATCCTCACACAGGGAAGAATTCCTTCCCAATATACTGCTAAAATCTCCCCTTTTTTAGTTCAAAACCACTACTGGAGGTTCCCTCAGTGTGGTTGTCCTCCACCAGCAAAGGGTTGGGTCATTTGTGGCTGAGCTCTCCCTGTGCCCAAGGAGCTCTCCGTGTTCCAGCTGAGCCCTCTCTCTGTGCCAGCTGAGCTCTCCTTGTGCCCATGAGCTCTCCTTGGGCCAGTCAAGCTCTCCTTGGGCCCACCAAGCTCATACTGTGCCCTCTGAACTCTCTCTATTCCAGCTGAGCTCTCCCTGTGCCCAAGGAGCTCTCCCTGTGCCCACTGAGTTCTCCTTGGGCCAGCCAAGATCTCCCTATGCCCATCAAGCTCTCCTTGTGCCCACCAAGCCCTCCCTGTGCCCAAGGAGCTCTCCCTGTGCCCACTGAGCTCTCCCTGTACCCACCAACCCCTCCCTGTGCCCAAGGAGCTCTCCCTGTGCCCACTGAGCTCTCCTTGGGCCAGCCAAGCTCTCCCTGCTCCAGCTGAGCCCTCCCTGTGCCCAAGGGGCTCTCCCTGTGCCCACCAAGCCCTCCCTGTGCCCACTGAACTCTTCCCCACTCTCCCTGGTTTCATTTCCACGCAGGATCAGCTCAGGCAGGGCAGGATCTTCCTTGGACTGCTCTGGGTTGAGGCAAAGCTGCCTCTGGCTCCTGAAGGAATCAAGGAATCCTGAATTCCTGAGAGCCCAGCAGCTCTGAACTGCCCTGGCATTCATGGAGAAGGGGTTTCAAGCCCTGCCCAGGTTTTTCTCCCTGTGTGGACAGAAACACAATCCCAGGGTGAGTGCCAGGGGTGCCAAACACCCGTGCAGGGGGAGAGGGAGAGCTGGGCTCCTGCTGGTGCCAAGTTATTCCGAGGAATTCCTGACTCCACACGTGGCCCCAGTGTCTCCACAACCATCTCATGCACGTTATTGACAAATGCTGCTGCTGCAGAGCCTGGCACCAAGGCTCTGCAGAGCCTCTGCCATCCACAGACACAGCCAAGCCCTCCAAGAACACCCCTGCAAGGATCAGGAGAGCTTTCCAAAGCCTTTGGAGAAGCACCACCAACCCCTCCTGGCAGCAAAGGCACTGGGATCAGCTGGGAGGGGAGCAGCAGACAAAGACCCTTTGGAAATAGAGCCTGAACAACTGCACACAGAATTTCAGGAAGCAGGGACATGGGGAAAGAGCAGGGAAGCCTCACAAGCAAATCCTGGATGTGTCACACATCCATTCCATGCACCTGGAGCAAGGGAACAATTCCTGTCCCTGTGAGATGCACAGAGGCAAACCCTGGAGCAGATGTGGGTGTTTGTAACAGATCATGGAATCAGCAAGGCTGGAAAAGGGCCCTAAAACCCAGTCCAACCACCAACCCAGCACCACTAAGCCACAAAGTGCCACATCCATGTGTTTTCTGAGCACTTCCAGGGATGGTGACTCCTGGCGCCAGGGTTTGACAATTCTTACCACGAAAAAGATATTCCTAATTTCTGATATTATCAATAATCCATAGGGAATGAGGAGGTGTGACAGCCAAAACCACTCCCAAATCCCCCCCCCCCACCCAAGTAACCCAAGACTTCCTTTTTTTAACACAAAGCCAAGAAAATCAAAGCCGACTCAAAAGAAAATTTGGTGGGAATGGTGGCAAAGTGAAGGTAACAGCACAGGGGCTGTTAGAGGCCCTGCCATGAAAGCAGCTTGAGGAATAAGCTGCTGTTGTTCCCTGTCACTTTTCAGGGAAGGCTGCTGAGAGGGGATTACAGCCCAGGCAGCTTAAGAGGAGCAGGTGAGGGGAGATACGCAGGGATAAGGAAAAGAAAATACAAATTACTCTGCTTGTGGCTGTGGGGGGAGAGGGGAAACCTGGGGGTGAACTCCTCAGAGGATGACAGGTTATCCTTGGAAAAAACATCTAAATCACCCCGTTCCCTGCATTCCAAGTCATGTTCCCACCTCGTCTCCATGCCAGGCTCCCTTCAGCTCCCTGTAATTAAAGGATGGGGTTGCAGAGACGCTGCCACGGGAGATAAAAGTGCCCCAGGATTGCTGGTGCTGCCAGATTCGTCTGCTACACAGCCCAGCTGACAAATCTGGGGCTTGGAAATTGGAAATTCCTTCCCATCTCTCTGCTGGGAAGCTCTGGGGATGGTGGGGATGCTCGAGGAGTGGGAACGTTCTGTCACCTCTCTGTCTTCTCACCCTCTCCACCCCAAATCCTAATCCCACTGCTTCCTCCAGCCCCCATTTTTAGTGGGAAAGGGGTGCTGGAGCTTTGGCACCAGGAAAAATAATGATAAAACTTTTAATTCTCCTTGTTTCCAAGTATCTCAAACACCCTCACTGGCAGCCTGTGAGCTGGACCTGGCTGGCACACACATGGGCATTCTTTTTGGGGTGATATCTCGGATAAGAAACCAAAAGGAAGTGGACAAGATCTCCAGCTGGTGATGGACAGGTAAAAAAAAAAAAAAAAAAGAATGACAGAGCTGGGAAGCATCAGATGCCAAAGGAAGGGAGGGTGGATGAGGTGAGGGGAAGTTTGGAGAGGCACCAGGATGGCTCAGGAGACGCTGGAGCGTGGAGGGGGATTCCTGCCATTCCTGTGCTCATGCCCACACATCCGTGGGGGCCTTCCACCCACCAGGAAGGGGGAAATTAAACCCAGCCCTTCCTCCTGGAGGGAAAAGGTACAGGAATGGATGAGGAAACAGCGTGGGGGATTAGGTGGCCATGTGGCTGCTCCAAATCCTCATTAGGGGCTCGTTAAGGACATGAAAGCTGCTTTTCCTGCTTCCGGTCCTCCAGCACCCCTGGAGCTGCTCCTGGCCAGCCTGGGCTGCCTTCTCCTGGCAGCCTGAGGGACCATGGGGATGGTGGGATGGTGGGAGGGACACGGAGTGGGGGATCCTCCTCCCAGCTGTGTTGCTGGCAGATGTTGGTGACACGCAGCTCTGATGGAATTTATCCCTCACTGCTCTGAGCAGCTCCTGGATTGCACCTCTGGGATGTCCCACAGGTCTGACACACACCCCTGTGTGGTGGCACTTCGGTGGCAGCATCCTCTTTGTCACCCCTGCCAAAGCCAGGGTGACCAGGACATCCCTGTGCCAAATGTTCCAATTTTGGGAGCAGGACAATGCCCCAAATCAAAGGGATTGTACTATGCCAGGGTGAGCAGGACATTCCAATGCCAAACCTCTCCAATTCTGGGACAAGGACATCCCCATGGCCAAACCTCTCCAATTCTGGGACAAGGACATCCCCATGGCCAAACCTCTCCAATTTGGGGAGAAGGACAATGCTCCAAGGGGATGATACCACGCCAGGGTGACCAGGACATCCCCATGGCCAAAAATTCTCCAGTTTTGGGAACAGGACAATGCTCCAAGGGAATGGCACCAATTCAAGGAGACCACGACATTCCCATGGCCAAAATCTCTCAAATTTTGGGAGAAGGACAATGCTCCAGTGGGGTGATTCTGTACCAGGGTAACCAGGACATCCCCATGGCCAAAACCTCTCCAGTTTTGGGAGCAGGAACATGCTCCAAGTCAAAGGGTTGGTACCAGGACATTCCCATGGCCAAAACCTCTCCAGTTTTGGGAACAGGACAATGCTCCAAGGGAATGGTACCAATTCAAGGTGACCACAACATTCCCATGGCCAAAACCTCTCTGGATTTGTGAGCAGGACAATGCCCTAAGGGAATGGCACCAAGCCAAGGTGAGCAGGTCACCCCCTTGCTGTGAGAGAGTCAGACAGAGTCAGTTAAATTGAGACCTGTGGCCCTGGAAATCCTCTCCCAATGTGAAAGGTCCTAAATCCTGTGGATTTCCAAACCACCTGGCTCGTTTAAGCCGCTTCCTTCCTTAAATACGGACACAATATGGAACACTAAGACTCCATCCCCAATCCCTGACCCTGCACTGACTGGGAAGAGCTGGGACAGTGAAGTCCAAACCAGCTGGTTTTGTCCCCTTTTGCCCCAGATCTGCTGCCCTGGTGTGAGATTCCACAGGCAGCTCCCAAAGAGGAGCCCATCCCTCCTGCCCAGCTCCTCGCCCAACCCATCCCCTGAAAAATACAATATTCTCACTGGAGCTTTGCTCTTTCCCTGAAAATAAATGAGTCATTCCCAGCCAAAGGCTTCTTGGGGCTCAAAAAGCCAAATTGTGAATAACCCTAAGAGCCCAGAAGCAGAAGGATTGAAACAATACAAGCCTCCACCCCCCCAACTAAATCTACTACTGCTTTTTTTCAACATGGTTTAACAAATTCCCCAATATTTGCCTGGAAACTCCAATCCCTGGACAACTGAATGGAGATTTTACTGCCCATGTGCCTCTGATTACAATATATTACCACTAATGATAATTGTCTGGATTATACTTATCTGTTTCTTTGGCTTATAAACTATAAAAGACCACCAGTGAAGATGTAATAAAGTGCAGCTGTTGGAGCAAAAAAAAAAAAAAAAAAAATTAAAAAGCCTTTTTTTTTTCTAGGTCAGAGCAAAGTTGGGAGAGGCTTGGGAGAGCTGCCTCAGCGAGGGGAAGGAAAACCTAACTGGAAATAAGAAGAGCTCCTCAAGGCAGCTTTCATTAATCTGGAACTTTTCTGCCAGAACTGGTGCTGGGGTTTATCTGCCAGCAGGACAAAGGGAGGGAGGTGCAAACTCTGCATTTCTCTCCTGCATCTCATTAGCCTCAAAATGGACCCTTGGGCTCCTCAGAAATGTTCCTGGCCAGGGATGCACCTACAAAGGGAAGGAGGAGGGAAGGGAAGGAGCATTTTTGTTCTTGGAGTGGGGATGAAGCTTCCCCAGCATGGAACATAAGCTGGTTAAAAGGCACAGAGGGTGAAGCTTTGCAGGTGCCAAAGGGCAGGAAAAGGGGGAAAAAAACCCTCTCATTGCGGAAATTCAGAAAGTTGGAGAGAATTGCTGAGATGGAAAGCAGCCAGGAGGTCGGAGTAAACACCCTGGTGCTGAACTGAGGAAAGGCAGATAACGGAGTGTCCCAAGGCAGGGAAACATGGAATGGGTTGGGTGGGAAGGGATCTGAGGGATCACCCAGACCCACCCCCTTCCACACCCTCCACTGTCCCAGGTCACTCCAAACTCGCCTCAGACACTTCCAGAAATGGGGCATCCTCAGGGAAATCCATCCCAGCCCCTCCTCACCCTCACAAGAAACATTTCCTTCCCCAAATCCCATCCATCCCTGCCCTCTGACAGTGGAAACCATTCCCAGTGTCCTGTCCCTCCATCCCTTGTCCCCAGTCCCTCTCCAGCTCTCCTGGAGCCCCTTCAGGCCCTGGAAGCTGCTCCATCCCCTTCAGGCAATGATGCCTTTTGCTTATTGTGCAGAAACGGGCGAATCTGACAGCAAAAAAGGGACAGAAACCTCACTCTGGCATGATGACCAGGACATCCCTTTGCCTTGGAGCAGGTTCCTGTTCCCAAAACTGGAAAGGTTTGGCTATGGCTCCAGCCCTCAGAGATCTCCCATGAGCACATGGAAATGGATTTGTTGTCCTGAATTCACCACCCCAGGATTTCAAACCCAAGGCAGGTTTGCAGGGAAAGGGACTGTCTTTCATTTCACCAACTAACACAAGCTGAGGGAAAAAAAAAAAACCCAGAATATCTCAGAAACACAAGTTCTTCCAATTTTAACAGAATGCTGGAAGAAAAAGTTAATGTATCTTTCATGAGGACAATCTAGATAATAAGCAACACAATTCCACAGCAAAAGGCTGGGATTTTTTTTTCCTTTTTCTTTCTTTCTTCTTGGTATTTTTTCCCTTAAATAAGCAGGAATTTCTGGTTGTGGATAGAGGACCAAGGTAAAACTTGAGTCACCAAACATCCCCCAGACAGGAACATGCTGTAACCTCAGGTGTTAAGTGATCCATGAGATTTTACTTTCAGATTTGGGCAGAAACAACAACTTCAGGGGAAAAAAAAGCCAAACCAACTAAACCACGACAACCCCTCTGTGTGTCAAACCTAAACTGAAATTGTTATTCAGCAATTTGCAACACTTACTGTCATATTAAAGTAATTTCATTTTATTTTTGCTCGCTGGCTCTGCTCCTGTAACAAAACAGCAAATCTTGGGATTTAAGGGGATATTTGGGAGAGAACTGAAGGTATCATGGAAGGTTTGGGGGTAGAGCCTGTGACCCTGGAAAAGGTGGAAATTTTGCAGGTCAGATGTGACAGAACTGTGGGATTTGGGTGTTTTCCCCTCATTTCCAACCTCTCTGGCTATGAAAGCTCTGTAGCCTCTCCTTCTTCTTTGCATGGAAATATTATTTATAAATATTATTTATAAACATGCAGGAACTTCCACTTTCTCCTTTTTTATTTAGGAAAATTTCCAAATGAAAGAAACTTTTGCTGAACAGCCAATTTCTGACCCCCCTGGATGATCTCCAGGTGGTTTTGTTCCTTTGCTGGAAGTAAAAACCAACACATAAACAGAGAAAATTGAATTATTCATCTTTTGGGGGTCCCTTCCAGCCCAGGATGCTCCATGATTTTATAGCTCAGGAGTTCTTTAAGCTACAGGTGAAGGCAGCAGTGGATCCAAGTGGCCAAAAAGGTTCAAATTATTATTAATTAAGCACAAAAGCAGTGTGGCCAGCAGGACCAGGCAGGATTGTCCCTCTGATGCTGATTTCCAGCCTCTCTCCAGGACCCACATCCCCAAAGCTCCAGATGAGGACAAACCCCACGAGATGATGGTTGGTACTCACTTTTTCAAAGGCTCTATGACTGTCTTTTGGATCTGATTCACCTGTGGAAAGCAAAAAAGGGAGGATTGCAAGTCAGGATTGTTGGAAAATCCCATTTGCACAAGGATGGGTTTGTAGGGATCCCACCACGGGCTGGGGAGGGACTCTGAGCACACCATGATGTCCTTTAACCAAAAGAGAGGGAATTTCTCCCATGGGAGCTGCAATCCCAGCCTGAAGAGGGAGATTAGAGAAACTCCTGTGGGAAAAGTCTTGGGGATGATGACAAAAGGGAAAGAGGTGAGACTCGAGGATCCTGGACATGGCAGGGAGGGACAGGACACAGGGAATGGCTTCCCACTGCAGAGGGCAGGGATGGATGGGATTTTGGGAGGAAATCCTTCCCTGGGAGGGTGGGGAGAGGCTGGGATGGAATTCCCAGAGAAGCTGTGGCTGCCTCATCCCTGGAAATGTCCAGGTCCAGGTTGGAACAACCTGCGACAGTGGGAGGTGTCCCTGCCATGGCAGGGATGGGTTCAAAGCCCCCCCAACCCCAACCATCCCATAATTCCAGGATACTCCCACCATTCCATGACTCCAGGACCCTCCCAGCACTCCCATTTCCCAGCCAAAGCCAATCCACCTTCTCCTGGTTGAAGGAGTCCATCCTCTTCATGGCCGTGTCGAAGGCCGTGACCATCTCGAGGAACGAGGGCTCCTGCTCACACAGGGGGTTGGACAGCAGGTCTGAGGAGATCTTCACTGCAGACTTGGACATGGCTGATGGAAAAGAAACCACACAGGTCACATTTCCCATTGCCAGGAGGGCAAAAATCAGGGAGCTGAGCCAGCCAGGAGGGGTTCAGCACAAGCCTGCAGGGAGATGCTCGGTGGAGGCTGAGAGAAAAGCAAGGAAAAGGCACCAATTCATTCATGTAAACACCCAGAGAAGTGTTTTTATATAAGTTAAGTCTGAACCACTCCAATGTGAGGCTTGTGATGCTGCCAGAAATAATCCCAGACTAACAAAAGCACTGTTCTCTTAAAAAAACCCCAGAGATGGGGGTTTTTATACATCTTCTCTCGACAGACTATTAAGTGTCACTCTCAGCCTCACTACAGCTCTTCCACAACGAGAAAAATCACAGTCCATTAAGTCTTTCAAATGGCTTTACAAAAAAAAAAAACCATGTATTTGAAGTGGATTTAGTGGGAAAGGACCAGACTGACAGGACTGGGAGACGAGGTTTCTCTTTCCCTCTCCAAACACAAAGAGCAGGGACACGAGTTAAGTATTTTCCCCTCAATAAGCCTAAATTTTTTGCCTGTGGAGAAGGAGCCAGGGGGGATATGAAGTCCCTACAGGCCCTGGGAGTGCCACCAAGAAATCCAGAAGCAGCAAGTCATGCTCTGACTGAGCATTCTGCTTGTTTTCCATCAGCCACATCCCTCTTTATCCAAACACTTGGTCTGCAAAGGGAAAATTCAATGACAGAACCACTACACAAATGAGCAAGAAATTAGGGAAGGTACAGAATGGAAAAAAAGACTAATAAAAAGGAAAGCATAAATATAAACAGGGATAAAATAGACTAAAAAAAACTAAAAAGGCCAGAGGTACTAAAAAAAAATATTCTTTTTCCTCAGTGCTGGAAGTTATTCCAGTTGGAGATCACAAAGCCAGATGCTTTGGAGGAGCTTTGGAAAGACTCCCTCAGATATTAAAAGTTAAAATCATCTGAATAATGGGGCTTAAGATCATAAATCAAGGGGTTAAACATTCTGATTGAAAGGTTACACACAATTATAACAGAGAGAGCTCAGAAGCTGCAGAGCTGGGAGCTCAGTGCAGAACGAGCCTCTCACTGCAGGATAACAAAGCTACCGTATCCATCTATTATCCAAACATGAAGGCTTTGGGCATTTAAACCTTTAAACAGATGGGATAGAATCCATATGTGTGACCACATCTGAGCAGGGATTTGTGCCAGAATGGGATGGAGTTAACAACGGCAGAGCTCCTTTGGCTGGAAGAAAAATGAAGTTTTCCTTCACAGGAAAGGATTGGAAGGGAACTGGAGGGAGGGAGTGGCAGGGTCACGCTGGGAGGTTGGGAACTGGGGGGATTTGGGCATGTTCAGGGGGAATTTGAGTCAGGAATTTCCTCTGCATCAGTGGGATCACCTGTAGAGAGATGAAAAGGGGGTCTGAGAGTGCCAGGACAGGGAGGAGAGAAGGAGAAGGAGGAGAAAGAGAAGGAGGAGAAGGAGAAGGAGAAGATGAAGAGGAGGAGGAGAAAGGACTGCCTGTCCCTCAGGGTGGTCTTCAGGAGGGTCTGCACTGCTCATTAAACATGTGAGATGTAGCTCCAATTAATTATTCCAAAGGAGAGCTTTTACCTCCAGTTCAAGAACATCCTCCTGCCCCTGGAAAGAGGGTGGGGAAGGGGGTGAGTGATGTCCAGTTGTGCTAACAGCTGTGCTAACAACAGTGCTGCTAACAGCCCATTCCCTGTTTGCTGGTAGGGCAGTGAAGAGCCTGGCTGGGGCATTTCTGTGCACAGGAATTCTCTTGTTCTGAGCTGAGCTTTTTGGGAAGAAGGTGGAGACTCGAGCCACCAGTACCACTTTGCCAGGGAGTGTTTGCAGGCAGTGAAGAACCAACCCCCTGAGCCTGGAGGAACCAGACAGGAGGGCAAACCTCACCAGATCTGGGGGCTGGATGCTGGGAATGGGCACTGCCAGGTGAGGAGAGCCATCCTCAAGGATTGATCTGATCCACCTCCTTCTCCTCCAACCCTCCCTCAGCAGGCTGTGTGCAGTACCTCTCCCTCCACTCACCATTTCAAGCCTTTAAATGAGAAATCAGATCGTCCTGGCTCTGGCCAAGGCTCATTTGTGACTCTGCCATGTAACAGAACGGAAAAAGAAAGTCCTCCCACAGCTCCTCTGGGACTTGAAATGCTCCATATAAACAACGCCCACTGCAAGGGAGGGGAGGGGAATCCTTAACAAGGAAAAACTTACCAGGGATCTCTGACAATGACCAGAGTCCTCAGAAAGGGCAGATTTCACCCTGGAAAAGAGTCCTGCGTGTCTGGTGCTTTTCCCACCCCTCTGGCCATGATGGGAAGGTGGGAGAGCACGGGAAGAGCCTGGATCTGTTTGTGTCAGCAATATCCACACACACACACACACACACACGCGCACACAGGTGAGAGGCTGGATCATGGAAAGCCCCAAATTTTCCTCTTTCCCACTGCCCTGCACTGCTGTGACCCCGATCCCAGGCCTGGATCTGTTCGTGTCAGCAATATCCACATACACACACACAGGTGAGAGGCTGGATCATGGAAAGCCCCAAATTTTCCTCTTTCCCACTGTCCTGCCCTGCTGTGACCCCGATCCCACGGGATGAGTGCTGGCCCAGTGCAGCCCACACCTGTTTGTGCTGGTGCCTCTGCCTTGGCTCTGGAGCTGTGGGGGCCAAGCAGGGACTGCTCCAAACCACACGCTGGGAAAAACCATCTGGGTTTGGAACAGCTCTTTGCTGCAGGTTCCTACCCTGCTTGTCTGAGTAACCAGCATCCAACAAATCCAGCTCCCAGCTCCCCTCTGCTGGATCCCTCTCTGGGCACTGCAGATTCCGACCAGAGGGATGTGAAGGGAGCTGGGACGTGGGACAGGACACCTGCAAGGGCAGAATGTCACCCCAAACGTGCAGGCAGAGCTGTTTATTGCTTCCTCCATCGCCCACTGCCACCAGGGGAAGCCAAAACAAGCAGCCACCGAGGGAATGAGCTGGGTTATTCCCAAAGGAGAGCTGCCAGGTCAGCATTTCCCATGGGAAACACGGCCAGCTGTGTCCAGCTGTGCCCCCCAGACCCATCCCACCTTCCTGGGGCTCCAGAGAGGGACGTGAAGGAGATGAAAGGAAAACTGAAGGAGGTGAAAAAGCACTGTTGGCACAATAGGCTCAGCGGAGCTGCTCCTGCTGGATAATCTGAGACCTGGAACAACGACTCCTGGGTTTCTTCAGTGGCAGAAACTGAGGCAAACAAAAGCAAGGGACTTGTCCAAGGCCACGGAGCTCAGGAGACAGGGACTGAGCCCGCAGCACTCCCTGTGTTCCCTGGGCTGAGCTGCCTCTCGCAGATGGCCTTGTAACTAAGCAAACTGAGTGGGACTGAGCTCTGGATTTGTTTTCCAGACTTGTCACACATTACTCATGTGATCTCGAGAAAAGTCACTTCATCTCTCTGTGGCCAAGTTCACAGTCTATGTATCCTCCAGTCACTTACCCAAATCTGCATCTGTGCTTTTCTTCATATCCTTCTGAAGTTTTTTGGTCTGATCTTCCAATCTGAAAGATGGGAGAAAGAAGGCAAAGTCGGAATCTTGGAAAGAAAGAAACCCAAGTGTATCATACGTGCAACAAATCATTTACGGGCTGAATATGCTGGCTTCTGGTGGGAGTTAAAAATATCCAGGCAAGGCTTGATGAAGTTCAGTGCAGCTCAACCCTTTCGGGTTGTTTTCAGATGGTTTTTAACCTTTTCAAGTTGGTGATCTCTTATTCATAGTTCGCATATTTCCTGAAAGTTCTCACACTTAGCACAAATGGTAAAGCCAAATGCTTCCAGATGATCCCTGTGAGCTCCTGTGACACAGGCAGGATGGCAAAGCCACTCCTGGTCCTCTGAGGTGTTGGCCTCTTCAGGGACCCCACAGTTTCCTGGTAATTTTACACTTTTTCTTTTTCAAGCTGCCAGAATCTGCAACCCCACTGCAAATACTTCTGAGGACACCTTTGAACACTCAGAGAAACCCTGAAGAATTGGAAATTACAGGGCAGCGAGGGATTTGCTCACTGGGAAGAGCATCCCTGGCTAAAATTCCCTGGGAAGATGCAACGAGAGGAGGGAAGCACGCGGCCAGTCCTGTCCGACCAGTGTGGTTGATACTCACTGCTGCAGCTTCCCATATTCCCTTTCAAAGTCTCTCTCCACCTGTGGAAAGAAGAGATGGAAATCAGCTCCAGGGGACTGCAGGGCAGCCTGGTGCAGGGAAAACTGTCCCTGGGAAATGCTGAGCTGAGCCCAGCACAAGCTGCAGCTTTAATGGGAGTAAAGCCTCAAAAGAAAAGGAAGTCTTGGGGATTTGGAGCTCCAGGCCCTCTTGGAGCCAGCACCAAACACGTCAGCTTGACACAAGGACATGGATTGGGAGCTGGTGGAATAAATGGGAATGCTATAAAAGCAGGGAGGTCACAACCTAGCATGGCTCAGTGCTGGGGGACTAAGTTTTTTTCTCCCAAAGACTGAGGGGAGCTGCTGCTCCTCCAGCCCTGTTAAGGATCCTGAGGTGGGTCTGGCTGTTTCCTCCTTCCTCATCCTCAACAGGATGGTGAAATTCCCCCCAGACCACCAGTGAGCCTTCCCATCTCTGCATTGTTCACCCCCTCCACACGCTCCTTACCCCTACAACAGCTCCCTCCCATGAAATTCTCGGGCTGGAGCACAATCCCAGTGGACTGTGGCACCTCCAAAAGGGAGGGGAACCCTGTGCTCCGAGCTCAGAGCTCCAGCACAGCCTTCTCCCGATGCTACCTCAGTGCCTGCTCCCTCCTACTTGCTAGCTGGCAGCAAACCTCCAGCGATAGGAGATATTTTAAGGAACTTTCTTTCCATGCTGACTGTTTTAACACACTTAAAACATTCATTCCACACCTCGTCAACCAGAGAAGCAAATGGATTTCAATTGACCAGCCAAGAGTAAATCCGTGCGCGTTTGTTGTCATGGGATCAGCTCTGGGTTCAGTTGTGTTGTCAAGCTCCCGTGCTATTAAGGAAATGCAGAGTGCTGGGAGCAGCCAGGACTAGAAGGATCCAAAGGTTTGTTCCAATTCTTCCTGCTGGCCCTGGGATTTCAATCCCAGGCTTGATGCAGCACCACAATTTAATGGGGATGTTGCTTTTCAAGCAGAATTGCCGTTAAAAGCTTGGGGGTTAAAGATGGAAATTTTCTTAAAATCTCCTTCTTTAAACATCTTTTTGGGCTGCACTTGAACTCCACCAGCCTGATCTGAGGGCAGGCAGTGCCCAGCCACATTCCAGCCCCATCCCAGCTCAATCCCAGGCTTGATGCAGCACCACAATTTAATGGGGATGTTGCTTTTCAAGCAGAATTGCCGTTAAAAGCTTGGGGGTTAAAGATGGAAATTTTCTTAAAATCTCCTTCTTTAAACATCTTTTTGGGCTGCACTTGAACTCCACCAGCCTGATCTGAGGGCAGGCAGTGCCCAGCCACATTCCAGCCCCATCCCAGCTGTCCGCACCATCCGCTCCCACCATCCGGGGGATGCGAGCTGGGCTCTCTCCCCCCCAATCCCTCTGCTCCAAAAAACCCTCCCAGGAGCTCCAGCTCCCTTTTCGTGCTGCTAAAATTGGGTGCTGGAGAGAACAGACACAGAGCAGTGTGGGGGCAGCTCACACGACTTGTGCCTGGCGTTCGGGGAGCGCAGAAATCCGCGGCAGCTGGCGCCCTGCAGGTCAGGTAACCAGCACATAGTAAAACTCACCCTCCATCCCCGTGCCTGTTCCGGCTGCTAAAATATCCAGGGACTATTGCACTCTATTTATAGGCCTTAGGTGTGAATTGTTTTGGTTGCAAACCACACAGGGTCGGGCACGACTCAAAAATGTGCCCCCCTTTGAAAGGCTGGGGGTGTCGTTCCCTTATTGTTCCCTCTCTGTGTTTAGGAGGATCTGCTCAGCAACCAATTCCTCCAAAAGCTTTGGCTGTGGAATACCTGTGAATATTCAGGGTTTCTGTCCCTTTTTTGCTGTCAGATTCGCCCGTTTCTGGCCATTCTGGGATTTTAGGATCCATTCCATAAAGACAAAACCTCCCCGCTTTGTGACCCTCTGGGTGTTGTGAACCCCCCAAACCTCCCAAGCTCCCCCAAGCCCCCAGCCCAGTGCCAGAGCAGGGTCCACATGGGATCGAGGTGACTCCACACAGACACACTTCAGCTGCCCAGCCTGACTCACATCCCCAGCCCCATCTCTCCGAGACAGCTGCCCAAGGATTGCTCTTATTTTTCACGCCCACAGGCAGCAACTGGCTCCCAGTCCCCACAGTCTGCGAGCTCATGGAGCCTCCCAGCCGTGGCTGGAGCCTGGGCATCCCACAAAAACAGCTCCTCTGGAGAGGGAAAAGCTGCTCTCACGTGCTCCCACCCAGCAGAGTCACAGGCAGAGCCCTGCAAGGAGGACAAGCTGGGAACATTTTGCAGAGCACACAGTAATTCCCACTCCCAGTAGCTATCCACGGTCACACGCAGCCGACAGAGGCTGTGGAGAGGATTATCACGTTAAAAGTAACGAGAACAAGAAGTACAGGCAAGAAAATTACAATATCCTGAAGGGAAGTTTCCGTATTATTAAAATAATCCCACTGCTCTGCAGCCTCTTTCTGAAAACTCCAAATCAAACCACACTTTCTGTATTGAACGGGTTTTTTTTTTTTTCTTCCAGGCACAGGGGCTGGGTAATGCAAAAATCGCTCGTCTTGGGGTTTTTATTTAAATCTACATCAAGAGCGACTAGCTCTCGAAAGCTTTGAAATAAAACAACGCTCTCCCTTTCACCCAGTTCTTTTTTTTGTTTGCAAACACTGGGCCTCCCACCTGTGATCACATCCCTCCTGCTTGAAGGGCAGGATCATCATCACCACCCTGGTTATGAGGCAATGGAGCAAGACCGAAGCCAACACTACAAAGAGATGGAAATGAGGGACTGTGAGGAACCTTCCTATCCCCCTGGGGTTCATGTTTTTTTTTCCTGGAGGAGCAAGATGAGCTGATTTCTGCATCTTGCAGTGGTCTTAGCATCTTTGTGGATCTTGGGAAAAAGAGGGAAGTGTTTCCTTCTTCCTCTTCTCCAGAAAAAGTGAAACCCATAGAAATTAGAACTAAGATTTTCTGCTGAGCTTCTGCCACTCCATCAAGAATTTCCAGGTAAGTCCCACGGGCGAATATTTTGAGCCAAAGCTGCAGAGTACAGGTGGAACTGGGACGTCACAGACTCCACCCAGCAAGATCTCCACATCCCCATCCTGCAAGAAATCTTCCCAGAAAAATGGCAAAGGGAAAAAGGAGGCACCTCCCAACTGCAGAGACCAGTTTGGGCAGAAAAGATTGAAGGAAGAGAGTGAAAATGAGCAAAACTATTTAACTGGCATCACTTGAATTCACCCCACCATTCCCATGACATTTACTCCACTGTTTTGGGATTTCCAGCTCGCTGGGGGAGCCCAATGGAAAGGTGCTGCAGTGGAATCCTTCTGCTCAGGGAGCTCCTCTGTCCGACACCCCTGGGGAAGGCAGAGCTGCTGGGATGAGTCAAGGAAGGGAGGTTTGGCAGCTCAGGTCTCCACTCCCTGCCAAGCTGACTCAGGCCAGCAAGGAGGAGGAGGAGGGCGAGTGGTCTGAGTCAGCCCAGGCCAGAGCAGGGCCGAAGGAAGCAGGGAGGGAGGCGGGATAAAACCTCGCTGGGGGATGCAGGGCCGGCTCTGCTCCCCGGCTCCTGCCTGCTTGGATCATCCCAGCCCCAGTGAAGGGCAGGGAACAACCTGGGGGGACACAGGTGAACTTCAGCTGCAGCTGCAGGAGAGCTGGGGACACGAGACAGCTCCGATGGCAGCGCAGCCTCTGCTGGGAGCGGAGCTGTCCCGAGGGAGGGAAGAACATCTCTGCCATAAGAGGCTTCGTGGCTGAGCAATAAACATGGAGAGATATAATTCTAACAGGTTTAACTCCTATCACTGGGCATTAGTTTAATTGGGCTGTGGGCCCGTGGCCCTGCTGACAGCAGGTCCTCTCGGAGCATTAGATCCTCCCACCCGGCTCCCAGAGCCCGGTGACAGCTGCTCTTTTCAGGGAAGAGGAGGGGAGAGATTATGCTGTCTGGAATTGGATTTGCCCAGGTTAAGGTGGAAACAAAGCACAGCCATGTCTGGGGAGGGGGAGATCACCTCAGTTCACCAGCTGATATTTTCTACCGGGGTTTCCTTCTCCCTCAAGAGCTAAACTGTGGCTGACACCGTGCCCTTCTCCAAAGGATCACAAGCGAGTGGGCACAGGAGTCATGACTAATTCCTCGGCAGCCCAGGCAAATTGCTTTTCAGGACTACTCCCGGCCTAGATCTGACACCAGCCCCGGCACTGAGACAACAAAAAAGCCTCTCTGGCTCGCTGAGCCTCTCAGCAAAGCCACCCCCCTCTCCTGACTGCAGTCCCAGGCCTCATGGAGAGCCAAGGAAGTTACATCCTAACAAATGCTGCTTTTTTTTTTCTCCTTCCCCTTCACCCCCTCTTTTGTGGTCCAGTCTCTGCGAGTGGGAGATCCTCTACCCACAACCACTTCCCTTCTGATGGGCTTGGGATGCAGCCCTGGAGATGCCACACCTTCCCACTTCCTGCAGCCCAACATCTGGAACATCCCAGCCCTTGGCTGCTGCTGCTGTTCCCCAACGCCTGCACAGATGGAGTGCCTCAGCCTGCAACTGGGAGGTAAATCTGGGGGCCTGCAGCTCAAAGCACACCACGGCACATGGAATGCCTGATCCTGGGGGATATCCGTGGTTTCCTGCCATTTGTTCTGCTTTGAAGAGCTGCACTCTACGCTGGGTGTGAAGTTACAAGGTTTTGGCTTCCTGTTTTCTGCTTTCCTTGTATCTGGTGCCTGGAGAGCAACACCACCACCACCATCATCATCATCATTATCATCATTATCATTATAATCACTCCAGGGCAAGTGGAAGGGTTTTAGAAATCAACTTTGTTGACACTAAATCTTGTTCCTGAGGAGCTGAGGAAGGAAGGAAGGAAAAGGACAAGGCCTGGAAAGGCTCTGGGTGCTGAATGAACCTCTGCCTGCCGGATATTCTGAGCTGTTCTATTTAATACACACACATGTATATATAAGCAAAGGCTGCCAACTGCTTCAGAACAGCACATTCCAGCAGCTCCGGGGAAGGGAAGATCTCAGAGGTGCCACCACTCATCTGCAGGGAGCCTGAGCACAGAGATGGCTGATTTTAGGGGAGAAAAACCTCTAAAACCTCTAAACCAGCAAGGAAATAGAATGTACTGAACTGGGATGTGAGAATGGGTGGGCTGGAGATGCCCAGCAGAGCTGGCCAAGACACCCAGAATTGCAGAGCAGTTGGTTCTTGCCCCAGCCCGGAAGGACATCGCTGTTGGGAGCACTGGGAAAGGCAAAATATTGTGGAGCAAGGAATGTGGGGGCTCCTGACACAAGCTGGGAGAGGTGTGAAGGGCTCAGGCTGGGTTGCCTCACCTGAGGGATCACAGGCAACAGCACCTTGCTGGTGGATCACCAGCCCCTGGAAAAGGGCAGTTGAAAACATGGGAAAACCACGGAGGAATTTTACCAGTCCTCGTCTTCGTTGCCTGCCTGGCTTAAATTCTGTACTGACAGTTTGGAGCTGTTACAGAAAATTGCTGCTCCACGGCAGCAGACAACCACCAAATCCTTTAAAATAAAACATGACAATCAAGCCTTGAAGGGAGTGGTGGGATTAGCCCTCTGCCTCCAGGGAAAATGTCATGTCCCAAGGAGAAACTGCCCCACAAACACGGGTGCCCACGCATCCTGCGGAATTAGCTGGGCGTCCCGGAGAGGAAGGATCAGGGATGTCAGTCTGTGCAGGGGATTAGGTCACCAAAGCCATCAGAGGGACAAGCTCTGCCCCACACTGCCTCCCAGGGCTCCCTTTTCAGAGCAGGTGTCCAGGTGAGTTTTCAGGGCCAGCTCCTGGGAGGTTCCACAGCTTTTTTTTGGCATGGGACAAAAGCAAAGCCAAGCTGCTTAAGAAGGGAAAATACCACAGCCAGCTGCAAGCAGCAGCACTTGGGGTAGGAGCCTCAAATCCACGGGAATACAAAATGCTTTTTTAATTTGCTTTTAAAGCAAATGCTGTGCAGCACAAATTAATTCACGCCCGAGCACTAAGCATCTCAGCTTATAAGCCTTTCTTTGGAAACAGTTATATTCAGCGATCTGAACCACTCCTCCTCCTCCATCTGCTCCGAAAGGATGAACAAACAAGCCATTGCTGAAAGAAGGAAGGAAGGAATGAAGGAAGCAAACCCGTTCAGCCATCTCCGAGGAAAACTGTGCCAGACCAAGAGAGCTCTTTTCCCCCACCCCGCACACACACACCCCACTCCCAAAAAATAAAAAAAAATATAATTTCAACAGATCCCAAACCAAAATATTCTGCCTGCATGGGGCTCCCCCTCGCTCCTCGCACGAGGAGCCGAGCGCTGGTCACACGCGGCAACAGGTTCTGCTGCTCCAGCTCCCTCCCACACGCTGCAAAATGGGACGAGTCAAAGTGCTGGCTTGACTCATCAGCCACATGATCCAAGGCTGGAGCTAAAAAGGGGGAACTGGTTTACTCACTGTCTTGGGTACAATCTGTTTCTTGGGCTGCCCGATCTTGAACGGGATCCTGGAAAAGAGAGAGGAGAAGGGAATGTGTGAGCAGCGCTGATGCTGGGCCCAGGCTGGGGTTGGGTTTGGGGGCAGCAGGGGGTGTCCCGGGGTGGCAGCCCCTCATTCCAGGCACTGTGCACCCCCTGGAGAGGGAAAGGGTGGGAGAGAGTGTGGAGAGACTTCTCAGCATTCCAGAGGGGCAGCTCTCTGATCTCTGCTCGGTGACAGCGACAGGAGCCAGGGAACGGCTGGAGCTGCGCCAAGGCAGAGTCAGGTTGGATTTTAGGGAAAGATTCCTCCCCCAAAGGCTGGAAGAAGCACTGGGACAGCTCTCCAGGGAAGGGTCACAGCCCCGAGGCTGCCAGAGCTCCAGGAGTGTTTGGACAACACTCCCAGGGATGCACAGGGTGGGATTTTGGGGTGTCTGTGCAGGGCCAGGGGCTGGGCTGGGTGGTCCCTGCGGGTCCCTTTGGTTCTCCCAGAGCCAGTGCCACCCCTGAGGTCAGCCCCTCCAGCCTCCCTCCAGCCCAAAGCAAGGCAAGGATGCTCCACAGACAGCTGAAGAACCCGCTCTGTTTCAAACCAAATCTGCTGGGGAGGATAAAATAATACTAAAAAAACTCCCAAACAAAGCCTGTAAATATTTAGAAAGAGGATATTAAAAAAAGCAACAACCCAGTGTCTGGAGCTGCGAGCTGCTTCAAAGGATTCCTCTGCTCCAACAGCTGGAGGAGAGGCTCACCTGCCAGCACAGCCTTCATTCTTAAAATCCCTAATTCCCAGGAAAATCTGGGTTACCTGAATGAGAAGAGTACTCTAAATAAATTACACAACATATGTAAGGGTGGCTGGGTCAGCTGGGAGCAGCCACGCAGGCAGCCTGAAAATAATTGGATTTCTTTCACCTATCAGTATAATGAAAATCCAGGAATACAACTGCTGCTGTCAATGGACTTAATTAAGTTAAAGAGGTGCTGCTTGGTTAAAGCATCTCAGCCAAAATCTCCCAACGTTTTCTGGGTTGTGATGCTTTAAATAAATAGAAAAAATTGAGGTCATAATGATATTCAAGTGGTTTTTTGCCAAAGATGTTTCACCTACAGCTCAGCTCCATCCCATTGCATTCCAATGGAATCTTCCACTTCCAATTTCCCATCCCAAATCTGCACCAGCAGCTTCTGGGAAAGTGTCTGAGTCCCCTCCTGAGAATTTGGACTGGACCAGCCCAAATTCTCATGCTCCTACACAAAACTTGAGATAAAACCATGGCTTTTGGGACTCTGTTGCTGCCTCCCAGTCTGGCTTTTCCCACTGCTGATTTTCCATTTGCTTCCCACCAGCTCCACTTCCAAGTCCCCAGCACTGCTCCATCCAACAGCTGGACCCTCAAGAAATATTTTTACCAGTGCAACCTGCCATAAAATCCAACTGTGTGCAACAGGAGAAGGAGTTTGCAATGGAAGAATGGGAGGGACGAAGCAAAAAACCCTGATTATCCAAACTGCAAACCTTGCTCTCCCCACTTTTCCCGCTGTTTTCAAACCAAGGCTGTAATTACCCACCGGGAATAATCCAGGGCTGCACCCCCCGTGACCCTCCCTGAGCAGCTCTGGAGCCAACCTGAGTCACCAGGTTTAAATTTAAATTTTTTTTTTTTCAGGAGAACTTCCTGTTGATGGTTCTCCGCCAGGACCGGTGTAATTTTGGGTTTAACCCTTTCCAGCTCCTGTGGCAGAGTGAATCACCCTTCTTTTATAAACAAACACCACTCTGCTGTATAATTTCCCTGTCAATAACTGGGGGTGTGGTGCCTTACAGGAAGAAAACAAAAATATATGGATTTTTTTCCTTTGTGTTTTCCTCTGTGGGTCAAATATAAACCAAAATGAGGCACCTCCCGCCTGCCATCCGCAGCCAGGTGCTGTCACTTGATGTTTTTGGAAGTGATGGCACCAACTTGGTGGTGAAAAGATAAAAAAAATGAGGATTTTACTCAAGGGAGCGTTATCCCACTTAAAACCAGTTTGCCACTCTATGGCAGGGCGGGAACAAGCAGGGAGCTGGAGCCAGGTTGGTTCCTAGTGGGAAAGGACAATTAAAAAGGTGATTAAGGAATTGCCTGTGCACAACCTGCCCCTCTGGGGGACACAGAGAGCATCCCAAAGTGGTGTTGTCCACTGGAAAAATGGTTCAATCCAGGGAGTTTGGTACCAAGAGGGATGTGGGGTAGGAAAAGCTGGTTGGGGATCAGAGCAGGGAAGGGAAGGCAGAGGGAGCACAGGGCGTCCTGCTCCATCCTCACCCCACCACGGAGGGCAGGGAACCCCAAAAATCCCTTTTCTTCTCCCAGAAACAAAGGGAAGTCAGTAGAACTGCAAATCTCCCATGCAGCAGTAAATATCTCTATCAGCATTGTGATGCCACTTGGTAATTATGTCTGTCTCAGTAAAACCTCTAAAAAATAACCCTGTGCAAGTCAGGTCTGTTCCTCAATTATTGGAGGTTTTTTGTTCTATTTTACAGTTTTACATAATTTTCCTGGTTTTTAAATCACTGCCTTTTAATATGATTCTCTGGAAGGGTGGGGGGGGGGAAGATGGATGAGCAGGAAAGAAAGAAGGAAGAAAAAAAAAGATGAAAAGTATGGATTTTATTGAAGCTTTTAAACCAAATGGATTCACCCCACGCCTCAAAACTGCTGCTGGCACCGAAGTTTTGTCCCTCTGGGAGTTGTGGCCCTGCCTGTAAAATTGTGGGGGGACAAAGTGCAGCTGCCACAGCAACATCACAACCATTTGCTTCAAAATTGAGAGGTTTATATTTTTTTCTGGTTAGAAAATGCATGATGGGGATAATACAAATAAACTGGGGGCAGGTGGATCCTTATCCATCACTGCCATGAATTCCACGGATCTCCCTGGTACCTTCAAAGCTGAGCCTGGCTCTATAAACACCAAAGAAAAACCAGAATCGGTGCTGCTTTTTTTTCTTTTTTTTTTTTTTTTCCTGATGTCTCGTTTCTGCTGAGCGAGAGAAAGCTGGGGTTGTGTTTGGGGTGTGAAATCCCTTGAAATCCCGTTCCTGAAGAGCCGAGCGCGCTGAGTCACAGCCAGAGCGTTCCCAGCCCGCGGGGCTGGGGGAGCATCCCGGCCCCTCGCAGCCCCCTCCCTGGGAGGGCACCTGGAGTTTGGGAAAGCAGCAGGGTTCAGGGGGGAGGGAGGAGGGTGAAACACTGCAGGGAGAGGGTGGGAAGAGCTTAAAGTAAGGAAAAAAGTGTGGGTGGAGAGAATCCTGCGAGCTCTACTCGGGGATGCTCAGGAACCCCAGGGAGGGGAAGGTGGGAGAAGCTGTGGCTGATTTTCTCTGAAGTTTCCCCAGCAATCTCATCTATTTACTTGACTTTTCCATGTGCAAACGCAGGGCCACACACACCAAAGCAGTTAATTCTCCTCTGGATGCACAGGAGAGTTGGAAACAAACCTCCCAGGCAGGGGGGGGATACAGCTCCATGAGGTCTGTGGGGAGCTGCAGCTTAAAACACGGAGCTCCCCCTCCCACTGCCCAGCAGTCCCCTGGAAGGCAGGAATTGCCAGCGGGAATCACTCAATCCTTGCTAAATTAGGGAGGAATGATCCTTCCCCAGGGTGGACATCACACCTTGGCATCACCCCTGGCTGTGGGGAGCTGGCATGGAGCTCAGAGAGTGCCCAGGGGATAAATTCCCTGTGGGATGTGATTTTTTTTCCCAGCTCATTCCAGCTCAACACGGCTTTGCCACCCCTAATCAGGCCCCAGAAGACCCTTGGCAGATAAGCAAGGGATAAACACCAAATATTTTCACCCACAGCTGATAAAATGCTCTCCCTGGGGATGCTGAGCTGCCAGGCAGGGATTGGGAAGGGAGGGAAGGATGGACAGATGGATGGACAGGCAGGGATGGGGACAGCAGAGGCTGGGGCAGTTTGGATGTTAATTAACTTGGGAAAAGTGACACTGAGCCTCTGAATTCAATATTCCTGCCCCAGGTGGGCACGAGTGGCATTTGCAGGGGACCCACAGGTCCCGCTTCAGTATGAACTGGTGGCCAAAACTGGTTTTTACTGGTACCACTGCCAGACCACCAACTAAATCCATGTTTTGTGGGAAGTGCCCGCTTCCCGTGGAAAGTTTCAGGGTTTTTTTTTCCTTTTTCTCTCTCTCTCATTGAAACCCCAAGCGCCAGCATAGCCTGGATGCCCGCCAGAGCTTCTCACTCTTTGAATTTCCACCAAAAATCTCAATTCCTTCACCGGAAAGAAACCTCTCTGTGCCTGCAGGCAGGAGGATGACACCCAGCCTCCCGCGCTGCCAGGGTGACCCCGACCCTCCGAGCCTGGTTTTCCCCAAGATTTTGGCACGCTGGATGATGAGGGATCCTGCAAAACCATCCCTTTACACCTGATCCTCTGCGCAGACAAACATCATCCTAAAGCTACCAGAGAAATTGGGTCCTTCCCTGAGCCTTTCCCTTTGGAAGCTGCTGGCTTGGGAATGGATTCAGCTGCATCCAGAAAAGCTGCCTGGTCATGGGACCAGCTGCCACCCCAGAGGGATCAAAGAGTTCCTGCAAACCCCAGCAGGAAGGTCGGGAGCACTCCAGGAAGGATGTGAACCTTCACTTTCTCACTCTGCTACGGAGTGAACTTGGTTGAGCTTCTCCTCCCTCTCCGCTTGGGTGAAGCTTCCCTGAGGGATGGAGGTGTTAGGGAAGGACTTTTCCATGACAGGGAAAAGCCAGGAAGTTCAAAGGAAGCTGAGAGGGCTTTGCCGAGCAGCATTCCTGAGTCTCATGCCAGCCTGCACAAGGAGAGGGAACACTGAGCATCAAAATCCTGGAAACCTGCATTGGGCTCCCTAAAAACACCCAAAGGTGCAAATCCCCGGCCAGGAGGGGATGCCAGCCGTGCCCAGGTGAGCCAGGCAGGAGGGCAGGCTCAGGTTAGGCGTGAATCTCCCGGATGCCTCCTCGCTGTGCTC